TTTTTCGAAAAGCTTCTTGCTTTTTTTGATTGGAAAGAAACACAGCGAATAATTTTTTCCTCATTGGATTTCTCGTAAAATTAGAAACAAGACGAAATTAAAAATTACATTTTGTCCAAATTTTCGTGACACTGAAACAAAAGTAGATGAATCAATATTTTAGTTTTAGATCTACAGAAAAGAAACAATATTACAAGAGCAATATTAATTTGTTTGTTTCTTGTTTTCTAATTTTTTTTACTAATTCTTCTTTTTAAATATTTTTAATTTAAAATTAATAAAAGTCTAATCTAATGTTTTGAAAATTCCTTAAATAATAATAAAAATTCACTGAACAAAATAAAAATCATAATTTATCTGTAAATTTCAATTAATATTTTGGAACAAAAATTCTTACTTATAAATTATTGTAGAAAAATGAATTTTTAAGGCAAAAAGTAAATTTTATTTATTTTAATATCTTGTTCAATGTAGAATTAAAAAATTATTTTTTAGAAATTTGTTATCATTTTTGTTTTAACTAATTCGAAGTTTTAATAATTCATATTAAGATATATGTATTAAGTTTTGTGAAACATTTTTATGAGGAAAAATTTAGAAATTATTTTTTCCATAATTTTTCATAATTAAGTGAATTGTATTTTAATTTTTAAAAATTTGTTATAACTTTTATAAATTTGAATCAAAATTAATTTTAAACTTGCATAAGTAGAATATTATTAAAAAAAATTTAAATAATTAGATTCTTTCGAGGAATTTTATACGAATTGTATTGAAAATAATTGAACTCTTATAAAGAATTTTTGAAAATAATTGAATTTCTATGAAGATTTTTAAAAAAATTGTTTGAAAATAATTAAGTTCCTTCGAGGAATTTAATATAAATTCTATTGAAAATAATTGAATTCTTTTAAAGAGAATTTTATCCAAATTCTTAAAAAGAATTTCATTTTTTCGATAACTGTTATTAAAATTATATTTTTCGAAAATAATTTAATTTCTAAGAAAATTTGTATTAAATATTTATGAAGATAATAAATTATAACCACTAGTTAATAAGTTAAAAAGTGAATTTAAAAAAATTTTGAATCTGTAATTAGTCAAAAATTAAACAAAATTGAATTGTTTTCAATTCTCAGTTAGTTCAATTTTTAAATTGACATGAAAGTAAATTAAAAATTAAAATTGTAACAGTCACGTGACTTATTACTCACCTGGTGTTAACAAGACGATTAACCAATTAAAATTGAAATATTGTTATAATTATTCTGTTGTTGATCTCTTGTCCCAAAGGTCAAATAGTCATCTGCTTGTTGAATAGAAATTGAAAATAGAATTTCCGCGTTTATATTTCAATATTTATATTCTCATCGCTTTATTATCCTGCTAATTGAGTCTAGTCCCTTGTTGCCCTTTTGCATGTCAACACATTGTCTTGAGTATTAAGAAGTTTATATCGCTCTGCCTGAAAAAATTCACAAAGTTAACAAAATTCTAAATATTTATAATTTATTTTTAATATTTTAATAACAAAAAATGCATATTTAAAATTTTAAATAATTAAGTAAATTATATTTTCATTATTTAGAAAATAATACAAAATAAAATGAATATATCATAAATTGACTAAATATTTAGTCTTTAGTTTACATATTTGCCAAATAAAGAAATAAATAAATATCATGATTCGAAGTTAAACGTTGACTTCGATATTTTATTATTTAATTATTATCTCTAGTTTATTTTTTTTCCTATTTATTTTTTATTACGAGAATTAATCTTTATTTACTGAAACTAAAAAAATTAATTTTCTGAATTTAAGTAAATAAATAAATTGACTGAATTTAAATTTAAATAAATTTACAACATACAAAATGATAGACTAAAAAAAATTCATAATAAAATGAATTCAGAAATTTAGAAAACAATTAAATTTGTAAAATTTATTTTTGCAATTGTTCCCGCTATAAACAATATAGTCATATAGATATCACAGCTTTCTTATAATTGTTGCAATTTGAGCTTTATTCCGATCGTAATTATTTAAAACTTGAGAAAAACACTTGTGAGAGACATAAAAGGTAAAACTAACAAGTCGTATTGATGAAATTTATCTTTCGCAAAGTTCACTTCTGACTGACTTCCTTTAATTAAAGTTTGTTGCTTTCCTAAGCCATCTTTTCGATGAATTAGCTCTCCTCTTTCTCTTTCTTTCTGTCTCTCTTTCGCCCTTCTTCTAACTAAAAGAAGAAGACCATGGAGAAATTATTTGTCGCGTTTAACGAAACTCTATCTGCGTGGAATTTCCCTTTTATGTCAAGTTTTCCAGCCTCGAAAAATATCCTGAAGCAAAAAGAAAATTAAATCAAAAGGACAATGTTGAAATTAAGAATGTCTAATTAATTATATTCACAAACAACATTGAACGTAATTTTAAAAATTGTAATTTAAAATTTAGAAATATAAAAATATTTTCCTTAAATTCATAATTAAGTGAAAATGAATATTAAATTATAATTATTATTACCTATTAATTATATAAATTAAATATTGTAAATAAACAAAATAAATAGAAACAAACTGGCATTATTTTCTTTAGCCCGTTTAACCAATTAAATAAATAATAAATAAATAAATAAAAGACGATTGGGAATTATTTTGCTTTGCCCGTGGAACCAATTAAATAAATAAAAAAAATAAAGTAAATAAATAAAATACGATTGGGAATCATTTTGTTTCGCCCGTACAACCAAATAAATAATAATAAAAAATAAGTAAAATAGAAAATAAATAAATTAAAAATAAAATATAGATAAAACAGAAAGTGTTTAAATAAAACACCTAAAGTTCTCGTAGAAGAAAAATTAATTGTTCAAATATATATATAGAATTTATTTTGACATTTTAGAAAGTTAACATTTTGAAATGTTTTAAAGATAAGTTTCAAAGACTCATTCTGACAGGAAAATAAAATTTAAAACTCTCTTGTTTGCATTTAGAAGTTTGTTGAAATTTTATTTACAATTGACTAGTTACTCTGAAGTTTCCTATTGAAGAACAATACAAGCTTTGTGAAAGAAAATTTACTGCCCGTATATAACAGATAACTTTCTGTCAAGGAAGAAGACATGGAATAGTAATAGAATTTAAAGAAAAATTATTTTTTACCAAACTAAAAACAAATGAGCTATTTTATCAATAATAAGAACTAAGAAGAGAAGAAATTAAATTAAGAGTAAATAATTTTTCGCTTGTTTTTTAAAGTGAAATTAAATCAAATTCGAGAAAAAAGCCAAATATTTTAATTTAAGAAAGAATCATTGTCAGTCAATATAGAAGAAAAGTTAGTCCAACTGCGTACTTTCGTGCTTTTAAATTAAAATAAAACAATTTAAAGTTTAAATTTGTTTTGGCGGATGGGTGAAGAATTTAATTTTTAACAATTTAGATAATAATGTTTATTTAAAAATTTAAATAAACATTATTATCTCAATGAATATTATCTTACTATTTTTTTAGCTAAATAATTATTCTCCAAATTATTCATACAATTTACAAGTTTTGCTTTGAAAGCAGTAAAACTTACCATATTCGTATTTTCTCTGAATAAATTTGCTAGTTTAAATAAAAATTCGAAAAATATCATTCTTGTTTCGTTTTTCAAAAAAACGTTATAATTTTTATTCAAATGCAACTTTTAGTTGTTTAAAATGTAGAAAATTAAATGTCAAAATGCATTTAGAATTTAAATTATTTTTTTAATTCAAAAATTACCAGTGAACTTTAATTCCATTTTTTTGTCAGATTATTTTTTAATTTAAAAAATACGAACAAACTTTTCTTACAAAATTGTTTGTTGGTTTCTTCTTTAATTTAAATAGAAATAAATATTTAATCATTGAAAACTTTTTTTTGTTTGAAAAACTTACTAGAAGATTTTTATTTACATTATTTTTATTGCAATAGAAAATAATAAAAAATATATATAAACTAGAATTTTTATTCAATTTTTACAATTTAGAATTAATAGAGAATTAATTTTAATTTTTTCTCTATTTTTTTAGAGAAAGAGAGTATAAGGTGGAATTTTGTACTCAATTTTCGTATCTAGGTTTTTATGAACGAAATAGAAGATTTCAATTAAATAAAACTTCCATTTAACAAGAATTTTATTAAATGAAATTTCCATTTAACAGGATTTTCGTTAAATAAAATTTCCATTTAGAAAAATTTTCGTTAAATTAAATTTCCATTTAGAAGAATTTTCATTAAACTATATTTTCCATTTAGCAGAATTTCTATTAAATTAATTAATCATTTAGCAGGATTTTCATCAAGTTAAATTTACATTTAGCAATTAGCAGGATTTTCATTAAATCAAATTTGTATTTAAAAGAATTTCTTGTGAAATTGAATTGAATCTCTGTTCAATTGGTTTCACATTTAATTTTCATTAAATTAAATTTCCACTCAACAGGAGTGACTTTTATTAAATTAATTTCTCAGTTAGCAGGATTTGCTTTTTTCAAGTTATATTTTTCATTTAGCAGAATTTAAATTAAATTAATTTCTCATTTAGCACTATTTTCATTAAGTTATTTTCTCAATTAGCAGGAGTTTCTTTGATTTAATTTTCCATTTAACCGTAATTCTTTTAAATAAAATTTCCATTTAACAGAATTTCTGTTATATTAAATTTCTATTTAGCAGAGTTTTCATTAAATTATACTTTCCATTTAGCAGAATTTCCAATTGAAAATATATTTTAAAATTAAATTTCTATTTAGCAAGTTTTCTGTTAAATTAATTTCCCATTTAGCAAGTTTTCTATTAAATTAATTTTCCATTTATCAAGATTTCCATTGAATGAAATTTTTAATTTTCTCTTTAAAAGTACGTTTTCTTGAATTAAATTTTCACTTAAGCAGAATTTCTATAAAATTAACGATTTGAACGTGATCTTACGAATTTGCAAATAAATAATTGCTTTTCTTCCCCAGGCTTACGACGATAATGGACCCGAGAACGCTGCATTGTTGTACAAACTTTTGAGACGACTTGGAACGCAGTTGGCTGTTGGTGAATTGCAACGAAAACGCAGTTACTGGAAGCAGTGCGCCTTTAATGCGGTGTCATGCTATGGCAAGTAGGCTAAAACAGAGAATAAAAGAGCAAAATTATAACAACAAACAAAAAAAAAGAATTCCGTCTTTCTCTCATTCCCCTTTTGTCGTCCAGTCTTTAACTATAATAAATCAATGTACTTCCAATTCTTATTTAATAAAAAGAACAACATACCATTTTCATTCCACTTTAAAATTGTATACACGTGAGAAGTATTTCTGAAAAAAAAAGAAATTATTAATGAAAGAACCAAAAAAAAAAAAAAAATGAGAAACAAATAAAAATCAGATCCCAAAGAAAAATAGATTTTTTCCTTCTTTTCCTGACAAAAAGAAATTAAAATTTTAATTTTCGAATTAAAATTTTCCTTCGAATGAAATAAATGGAAAAAAACTATTTTTGCAAAATAAAAGTAATTTTATCTTGTTTCTCATTTTTTTCCTTATGATAAACACAGAATGACAAAAATAACAGTATATTTTTTGCAAACAAAAAAAAAATACTAGAGGAGAATATAATTAAATAAAAGAAAAAAAATGCGAATGACTCTATTTTTAATTAACGAACGCATACAAGATATGTTCCTATAGAAATCGCTCGTAATAGACGAGAATTCTAAGATATTTTTTAATTAGTTTGTATACATATCTACAATTCCATTTCATGAAATTATCATCATATAGAAGAAAGAAAATGTGAAACAAAATGTGAAAATTTATATTAATTTACAAAAAAAAGGAAAAATTCAAACTTTGTCGAGTATTAGAAAATTAGATGATTTTCGTGTTAAATATAAAAGAATTTTCAAATCTACAACAAACACCCCTTAACTCAAGATTGATTTCATGTTTTATGCATGGTAGAGTTTTAATAGTATGCAAATTCTATAGATACTTAGACGACACCTTATAACCGTGAAACGATAACAATTTATCGATTACATTATTAATTGATTGGAAAATACCACAAGTGACTTGTTATTAAATTTACACTTGTAATTATACTCAATTTTTTTCTTTTCTCCCCTCTAAAAATAGTCGAAAAACTAATAATTAGTATTAGTTTTCTAGAATTAGATCATTTCACAGTTATAAGTCGACGTTTAATGATATTTTTTAAAAAAATAAAATAAATAATAAATGTAATCCAGAAATATCAAAATCGATATATTGTAGTGTTTACCTTAAAATATACTTCATCATCGCAGTAATTTTTCTGTGACTCTCGACTTTCTTCGAATTGATTGCCAAAAAAAAAAAAAAATCTCTTCCGTGATGAAAGTTTATAATTCGCATTCAATATTTTCCTGTAAACTCCTCGTAGATAACCAAAAAAAAACAAACAAAAAAACACCCCGAAATTTACTTTCAAAGAAAAAAATCCTGTTATTTTCCAATGTCTGTAAAAATTATTTCTCTGAGAAAATAAAAAATTGAAATGATTTCTGTTGTTATAGAAATAGTTGATTATTTATTGCTTGATTATTGTGGTATAATATTTCGCTTCTTTCTTCTAAAAAAAAAAAATAAAATAGTGAAGCAAAAAGAAGCTGATAATCTTTTCAATATTTTAAAACACAATATTGTAAATATTACTTTGTATTCTCCGCTATATAAATTGTATAAATTAAATTAATTGTATAATGTAAAATTAAAAAAAAATCTCAGTTACGAAAATTAATATTCACTGTTAATTAAATACACTACCCTTCAGGTCTCGTGAAAAAATTATCAAAAAAAACTTTCCTTTCAGAAATTCCTGAAAAAAAAGAAAAGCAAATTAATAATTACGTTTATTTTCAAAATTAGTTTTATTATGAAAGAAAACTGAAATTAAATTCTATTTTAAATTAGAAAAAAATTCTTAAAAGGAAAATTAATTAATTGATAGTTTTACTAAAAGTACTTTTTAAAAAACTGAAATTAAAATTCGCAATGAATTTTTTAATTAAAATCATACAATTTTAAATTTTATTAAATATTTTTCAAATTAACTTGATTTCTAATTTTTAATTATGTATTTTACTTATTTTTATATAATTTATTTATAATTTATAAAATTTTACGTTTTTAATTTTTAAGTCCGTTTATACTAAATAAATAGATAAAGATGACAAAACACTATAAAAGTAGTAAAAAAATTCAATTCATCAACAATTTCCAATCAAATTTTTAATTAAAATTGTAAAAATAAAATAATGAATATTTTTAATTAACTTGATTCTTCATTTTTAATTACCAGTTCAATTACAAGTGCTCTACTAATAATATATATCTATATCTATATATATATATATCTATATCTATTTCTCTAATTTTTACATTAATAATTATTTATAATAAATTGTAAAGTTTTACGTTTTTTATTCTGTCAATACGTTGATACTAAAAAATTAAATAAAAAAATAAATAAATTATTTTGTAAAATTTTTCTTTTTTTATTCTATCAGTCCGTTGACTGAATAAATAAAAATATTAACTAATAAATAATAAAAAATTCCTTATTAATTAAAAGTTCAAAAAAATGTCAATTTATCAAAAAATTTTCAATTCCTTCAACCAAGTTTTTTCACATTTCGAAAATAATTAACAACCTATTTATCATTTGTCAAAGTTTCATAATGAACGACTCTTAATATTAGAAGATTAACTATCTTAGACTTTGATAATTACTCTTAAAAATGAAATAAAATTGAATACTGTATTTATTTTGCGTTGGCCGCCTAAAGAAATTTTCTCTCATTTTAAATAACACAAAAAATTAATTCTCTCCGAGTTGTACTACTATTTTGTTTCAAAGGAAAATCGTGTAACTTAATTAACTTGATTGTAAAATTATTATTTATATAAGGTATATAAACTTCAAAGATTCTATTAAATGCAATTTTCAATTTTCTTTTCTTTTTTGTTTTTTCATTAAAAATAATCTAATTGTGTCACAAACATTTAGAAATAGTTGCTTAATAATTTACGATCATGTGTACAATAAAAAAAGTGTCGAGATTTAAAAACTCCCTCAGCGCGTAAAAAAGAAAATTATTCTCGTAAACTAATACGTCACATGTATTGTATATGTATTCAGTAACCGATAAAAAAAGAGTCTATAAAAAACCACAGCCACCTGCAAAATTGATAATCCTTTCAAATTCAATTTAGTTTATATCGATAAAATTGTTTTTAAAATTTCACGTAAAAATTAGTCAACAAAAAAAAAATGAAAAAAGTTATTTCTGATGAAAGTGTTAAGAAATTTTCAAAATAACCATTAAAATATTGTAAATTAACTAATGTTTGAATTAACAAAATTTTTAACTTATATTTTGATTAAGTTTTCAAATTCAAATGCTTATCAAAATGGTATGGAGTCAAAAGTTCCAAAACAGAAGTTCCAATTCCGAAGGATCCAAATTATTATTTTCCCAAATGATATTTTTTCCAAAGTATTATTTTTCCAAAGGCCATTTTTACCAAAGTATTATTTTTCCAATAGTCGTTTTTTCCAAACATTGTTTTTTTTTATTTTTTAAATTTCAAATCAAAAATTTTATTCAACGTGTGCTCATTCCAAAATTATGTTGTGAAATTAAAATTTTTTTTTCCAAATTTAAAAATAGTAAACAGTTAAATTATATTAAATTGTAAATTAGTAAAATTAGAAATTTTATTTAAACTATAAAATAGTGAACAGTGAAATTATATTAATTAAATTGTAAATTAGTAAAATTAAAAATTTTATTTTAATATAAAATTTTATGTAAACTATAAAATAGTGAACAGTGAAATTATATTAAATTGTAAATTTTAATTATGGTAGAAATAATACAAGTCGGAAAAAAATTATTTACATATCGAAGGATTTCTGTATTACAAGCATTCAGATAGAAAAAATAATGTGAAATATTGGAGATGCCTTATTTTTTCAAACAACTCCAATACTTTTCACTTATTTAACAATTCAACACTTTTTATTTTGGAAATTTTTTTTGAAAATTTTACACTTTGGTAAATTTATATTTTGAACATTTTGGACTTTGGAACTTTTGTACTTTGGAAAAATAAATTTTGGATCTTTTCATTTTGGAACTTTTTTCTTGGAATTTTTCGATTGGAACTTCCGTTTTGGAACTTTTGTACCCCAATCATCAAAATATTTGTCAAAATTTGACAAAAATTATTGAAATAGATTAATATTAATTAAATATCAAGTTAAGTAGTTCCAATTTAATATGTTAAATAAAATTGTCATAAATATTTAAATTTTATACATTTTTGAAAAAAGTTTTCCCCAATTTTCAGAATAAATTTCTTTTAGAAAAAAATATTCTTCAAGTATAGAAATAAACAAATTGTTAATTAATTATACAATTCTTTTATAGAAATTGTATTTAGAAAAATTAATATACACAGAAAAAAGAATTTTCAAAGCGTAATAAATTTCTATAATAAATTAAATCTAAAGTCCTATTAATTAAATATCAAGTTAAATAGTTAGAATTTAATAAATTAAATAAAATTGAAACAATATTTTAAATTTTTATACATTTTTGAAAAAATGTTTCCAAAGTTTAAGAATAAATTTTTTAATGGAAAAAATATTTATAAAGTTAATTGATAATTAACTATTCAATTTTTTTTTTTAAATTGAATTTAGAAAAAATTAATAAACACAGAAAAAAGAATTTTTCAAGACGTGAGAAGTAAAAAAGTGAAGTGTAAAACAGAAATAAATTAAGAAATCTCAGAAGACGAAAAATAAGAAGAAGAAAATGGAAAAAAGATTAAAATAATAAAAAAACAGTTTTGACTTTTTTCGTTCATTACACATTTTTAATTATTAAAATCAATACGAATAATTATATAATAAATGTGGTAAATTATATTACATGTAAATTAATATTATTTAAATATCAAATTAAAAGCGGTTATAATTTAATAAATTAAATAAAATTGTCTGAAACTTTCAATTTTTATACATTTGAAATTATTTTTTTTTAAATTACATTCTTGAAAAAAGTATTTCAGAATTTTTAGGATAAATTTCTACTGGAAAAAAATATTTCCAAAACAAATTGTCAATTGTACAATTTTTGTTTTGTAAAAGTTAAAAGTAGAGAAATTAATAATCACCAAAATGAAGAAATTATTATTTTCAAAACTTTCATTTTCAAAGCGTGAAAAACAAAAAAAGTGAAGTATCAACAGAAAAATAAATTCAAAAATCTTTCGAAGAGGAAGAAGAAAAAGAAGAAAAAGAAGAAGAAGAAAAATCGAAAAAGCCGAAAATAAAAGGAAAAAACCCCCCAAAAAAAAAGTAGAAATCCAAAAAGAACAATTATTTTGACATTTTTTTCGTTCAATAATAATTCAGATTATGAAATTTTCAAAATGCCCTCTCAATTAAAATGTCTCGCCTAATTGTTTTAACGTGTTATTTTCATTAATTGAGTTTAAATTACCTCATCTTCCATGAGGACAGGGACAAGTGCAATAAACGCCAGTCAAAATTACAGCGTAAACGGAGGGATCCTGCATTTTCGACTCTGAAGCACAATTTTCCACCCATGATTGGTGAACATGCCTCGCATAAGTTGGTACGCCATTATATTCCTGAAAATATTTCAATTATTCACAATTATTATTTCTTTTTTCATTTTATTCTTTATTACAACGTATAATAATTAACGAAAATATTCAAGCAATTCAACAATATAAAGCATTCTATTCTATTTTAATTCACAAAGTGATGATATCTTTTAAATTATATCTACATAAATACGCTTTTCTCATCTCGTGCAAAATTAATTTCAAGTAAAATTTTAATTACAAACAATAATAAAAAATAATTTTACGGATTAATTAAAAAATTTTTGTATTCCATTATTCTGTTAATATTATAATTAAAAAACCAAAAAGAATTGCTAATGATAAACAAATATTTAATAATAAATTATAATTGTATGCTCAAATTGTTTAAATTGTTAAATAATAAAAAAAATGAAAATTTTGTAGAAGAGTTCAATTAAAAAATTGATGAGAAACGTATTTAGTAATTTTTCTTCCTTTTTTTACGGGCAAACTGCCGGTAATCAATAACAAGTTATGGATTATCGACTTGCCAGTAAAAGTTAACGGATAACCGATGTGGGAAGGCAGCAACAATTATTAGTCTCAACCAACCAGTTTAAACCGTTTGGCCGTCTAATAGCGTCAGTAATCACTTTACAATTTGATCACATACTCACGTGTGACACCTTTAAATATGTAAACGAAAATTTACACCATCGACATTTTTAGAAAATATTCACCAATATTTAAACCATTAATTTTTGTCAACAGGAAAATATATTCCTAAAATAAATTATGTCAAAATTCGAATTTCTTTTACAAAAAAATAATTATTATTTACAACAAAATTCTTTTAATTCTTTTCATTTTAAAGAAAGATTTTAATTTCAGATTAATTAAATTTTAGATTTTTAGATTTCGCAATTTAAATAAAATTTAATTTACAAAGCGTGTGAAAAAAATTCAATCTAAACCCGAAAAATAATATAAGAAAACAAATTCTAAAAATGCAAAAAAATTGCCATTGTTCATTTGAAAAATATTTCTTCATTTTTGAAAAAAATGGAACCATTTGACTTTATTTTCACTGAAAATGAAGTCAATTTTCCCTTGAAAAAATAAATGTTGAATTCAACCTGAAGAATTGAGGCAGGAACTTTTGCACTGCTATGAATCATATGGGTCGTTGTGGATAAATCCTCATCATCAAGAATTGTTGCACCGAGACTAAAAAATTGTTTGAAAAAATAAATGAATTAAGGAAAATAAAATGATTTATTTACAATCAGCGAAAAAATATAATAAATAAATTTATAAATAAAAAATCATTAACATAAATTTTTAGAAATGTTCAATTATTTTATCATCTATTTTTGTATTTAAATAATTGAATTCTCGTAAAACTTTCCAATAAGAATTGATTTGAAAAAGAATTTCAGTTAAAATTTTAGAAGCTATTTTACGAATTACAGTTCTAATTTTTAGAAATAAAAAAAAAATAAATAAAAAATCAGTAAATTGAAATAAAGAGTTGCAAATAAAATAAAGAAATAAATTGAAAATAAAGAGATGCAAATAAAATGCAGAAATGAATAAAAAAAATCATTAAACCAAAATAAACAGAGACAAATAAAATAAACAAAAAATCAGTAGACTAAAGTAAAGAGGTACAAATAAAATAAAAAAAATGAAATATGAGAAAATCGTGAAAATTTCATCTCTCGTGTATATTTCTTGTTGAGAAAAATGGACCGTTAGATTGTCGCTGGGTCATCCTGTAAAAATTGCCCTCGGGAATGTAATCTGTCCAATAAGACGTTTTGTATTCACAAGAAATAGAGTCAAAGACGACATACTTTTCCCTCGAGTGCTCCTTTTCTATTTTTTAGCTTTTTCCCTCTCTAAGAAAACTACTTACAAATGCAGAGTTATAATTACTACTCTTCACAAGGGTTGTTGGCGCGTTTCAAAAGTCTGTAAGCTTCCGAGAAAAAACTAATTTAACGAACAAAAAAAAAGAAATAAAATAAATAATTACCAAGAACGCTCCATTTTTGTTTAGACAGTTAATAGTATTATAATAGAAAAATTTTCCAAATAAATGAAATTCTATTTAGGGAAATTTTCCTTTCCTTTTTCCCTATTAATAAAAGTAAAAGTAAAAATAGAAATTCATAGAAGAAAATAAATTCTAATATAATAAACGAATTAATTAAGTGATTATATCAAAGAGGAAGAATTAGAATAAAAGCAGTTATGAATTTTTGATAAATCTATTGATTCGATAATTTGTTACGCATATTGAATTATTAATTAGCGAGTTAAGCCTCTTATAGAAATGACAATCGTTTCAAATAAATAAAATGAGAAAACAAAGTCAAATTTTCAAATAGTGAATATTTCATCAATAAAGTGCAATAAATTGTATATTTTGATTCGTGTTTGACATTAAACGGAAATTAATTACTTAGTGATTTTAAATGACAAAATTGTGAATTCAAAGAAGAGTTATTATAAATTTTCAAATAATCAACCATTAAAACAAAATTAATTAAAAGCGACTTTTTTCCAATTAAACTAAAAAAAAAATTGAAAAAAATAAAAATTACTAAAAAGAATTTATTCTATTTCATGCAAAAAAAATTTTAATTTAAAAGAAAAGAATCTTTTGACTAATGGAAGAAATAAAAAGAACAATAAAAGTAAACAATAGAGAATAAAAAATTACACTTACAATAAATCTACAAAAGAAGAGAAATAAATAAAGAAAAAAGAGAGAAATTTCCTTTCCTCTTTAAAATTGGAAAAAAATGAGAGCAAAATAAATTACAATTGAAATTGATTGCGTCAAGGTATTTTCTGTTACAATATTTTTTTTTCTACCCAACGCGTCATGTTGATCTTTTTCATTTTCATATTTATGAAGAGAGCGCGAGAACTAAGAAGCAAAGGAAGCAAAGTAATACGTTTTTGGATATAACTTCATGTTTTTCCAAGAGGATGGCACACTTTACCAAAGGGGAAAATTATCACCTTTTTCTACCTGGACATTGAGTTTTTTCTCCTCAAGAAAATTAGAAAATTTTCATTTCAAAAAAAGAGGAATTCGAATTTTTATAAATTTTTAAAAATCTAATTTTTAGTTTTTGATGGGAAAGTTTTTTTTTATTTTCTTAATTTTTACTTTAATTTAACCTTCGCGCTACCAAAGATTTTTGTATACGCGGGCTACCGGATGGCCACCCGGGGTGGCCAAACGCTTTTTTACTTTTATATTTCAAAAACGATTAAAATTCATCAAACTTTTTGTAAATAAGGGGTCGTACACATAATACGTCACGCGGCTAGGGGGAGGGAGGGGGTCTGAGAATTGTGACTAAGTGTGACATGGGGGAGGGGGGGGGTGAACTCATGTGTTACGTCACAATCTTTTAAATTCAAAGATTATAAGAAATTATATGTGACAATGGCACTTTTTCTAAATAAAACAAGTTAAAAATGCTTTAAACTATTTAATATCTATTATGTACCTATTTAACATCTATTGGTTTATTATTTATAATATAATATGATAAATAATATATTCTCTTAATTTGAATCAGTTAAAAATCTTGGTTTTAACTGACAATCAGCAGTGACTGACTTTTTGCTTCTGAATCAGTTAAAAATAACTGAAAAATTATCCACAAAACACCGAAACTTTTCTAAATATATGTATATTAAAGATTTGCTTGCATACTTCGAAAAGTTTACTAGCAATTAGTTTATTTAAAATTGTGTAAAGATTTAAATTTCTCACTCCAATAAATGTTTATCGTCAAATTTTCTTAAAAATATAGCTTGAAAGTTTCCTGAACATTTAATTACACTTTTGACTATACTTTCGTAAAAATTTTGCTGAAAATTTAAGTTAAATTTTCAGGAATGTTTCGCGCTAAACATTTATTGAAGTGGGATATTTAAATCTTTATACAATTTTTACTAAACATTGCATTTAAATATTTCGAAGCTTGCCTTCAATAAATTGTTAGGAAAGTTTCGGTGCTATGTAGGTAGTTAAACGTGACTAATAATTAAATCAATCCAAAAAAATTTTATTGAAACATCAGTTATTTTTAACTAATTGTCAGAAAAAAAATATTACTATTTGAATTAGTGACTGATTTCTTGCTTCTAAATCAGTTATTTCTAACTGATTCAATAATTTAGAGTGTTGTATATAATATATAATGTCCAATGTATAAAATTTACAGTGAAATTTACGTGTGTGACGTGACGTAGGGGGAGGGAGGGGTTCAAGGTTTGTGACGAAGTGTGACATAGGGGGAGGGAGGGGTCAAAAATGGTCAAAAATCGCGTGACGTATTATGTGTACGGCCCCTAACTATGTGTTAATACAATTGCTGTATTTTAATAAAGGTTTTATGCATATTGCAATTGTTTAAAAAATTTGTTATTGCAAAAACCTTTAATTTTCAAATAAACAAAGAGATTAGAAAATTTTTGAAAACTTTTCTTTTTTTAACGTTACTTAGTATTAAATCAAAAATTAAAGAAAATATTTATTGAAACGAATCATAAATATTAGTAAAAAATTATTTAAACAAATTATTGTTGTTATTTACCAACTTTTTACAGAATACACCTAGAAAGTTGCAGTTTTTTACTAATTTTGCAATTTACTAAACCTTATATTATTACATATTACAATTTATAAACGAATTATTAATTTGTTTAAAAATGGTTTAAATAACAATTCAATTTTGATTTTTTTATTTATAATCATATAAGGTTTAGTAAATTGCAAAATTAGGAAAAAACTGCAACTTTCTAGGTGTATTCTGTAAAAAGTTGGTAAATAGCAACAATAATTTGTTTAAAAATTGTTTAAATAATAATTTAATTTTTACTCTTTACATATTTGTGATCATATAAGATTAATAAATTGCAAAATTAGAAAAAAACTGCAACTTTCTAAGTGCATTCTGTAAAAAGTTGGTAAATAACAACAATAATTTGTTTAAACAAATAAAAAATTCATTGTAACATCAAAATATGTTGTATTTATTGACATAAAACAATTTTATTGTGAAACTTTCATGATTTCATTTTTATTTTTTTGCAATATACAAAATAACATCCGAACGTTTTTCAGTAGTGTTGAACATAGTTTTTTAATTGTTATAAATAAACAAGAAGAAATGTAAAAAAAAATTTATTTTTTTTATTTTTCGAAAGTAGATAAAATTTTGTTCAGTGACTTAAAATCGCGATTCGATTGATGCAAAAATCGAGCAGATTTACAACATTATTTATTGCTTGGCCACCCTGGGTGGCCATCCGGTAGCGCGAAGGTTAATAATTATTCAAAATAAATTTCGAATAATTCGAATATGTTTTCTAAATTCGGGAGAATTTCTCTTTTCTCGAAAATTCGAAATGAAATTTTTCTCAGAAAAAAGTCGCCGTATAATTAATTAATTAATCGCTAATTAATTTTCGAAACAGTTAACTATAATAATTAAAAGCAGAATTTTAATAAAGTTAAAATTTCTAAAATCAAGAAATTTTTTAATCAATTTACAATTTTTAATTAATTACTTAATTTTTTTTAGTTAAAAAAAATTTAAAAGAAAAGTTAATCAAAACTAATAATTTGATCTTAAAAAAAAAAATAAAAATTTCTAAAATTATGAAAGTTTTTACTTTATTATTTTTTTTTTTACTTAATTTTTAATTAATTACTTATAATGAGCTAAAAATTGAATTAAAAAAAATAATGGTTTTGTAAAGAAACGTTGAATTTAAAGAAAAAGTTCATAAAAACAAATAATTTCATTAAAATATCCGAATTTCTTTTTTTTAGTGAAAATTTCCAAATTTCAAAGAATCGGAACTCAAATTTTCCCAAAACAAAAATAAAAAAAAGCTCTAAATGGAGCAAATAAACAAGAATTTAAATAAAATTTTCTTCGAAATTGAAAAAATTTTCTTCTAACTTCTCTTCTAAATAAAAAGTAAAGAAAAGGATACGTTTTTAATGTTCTGGCAAGTCTTCTTCTTTCTTTTCGCTTATAATCTCTGGCAAATGTGACACGAATATTCCTCCTCAAGACACATTTAGTATTCTGAAATATTATCAAAGATAATAGAATTATCAAAACTAAAACGAAATGCAACGCAATTTTTGCACAAGTTATAATATCTCTTCTTTCTCTCTTTCTCTCAGCACGCAAATATTTATCAAACGAATGATGAAATTTAAAGAGATCTAATTAAAGAAGTTACATAACTTCCTCAAAAATTAGATTTTGAAATCGTTTCGCAAAAGTTTCAAAACATTTAAAGAAAATAAAATAAAAAACACAACAAATTTAAAGAAAAACAATTTTTTTAAATTTGATAAAAAATATTCTAAAAAGAATTCTAATATTTCAATTAAATAAATTTAATTTCAAAAAAATTATCTTTTACAATTTAAAAAAAAAAAAGAAAGTAGAAGTAAAAATTAGGAGAAAAAATTAAGAATAAAATAAATAAAAAATTACCCTTAGAATAAATCTATAAGAGAAAGAAAGAAATATAAAAATAATTATGATAATTGTAATAAACATTTTTTATTGAGAAAATAACTTTACCAATTCGTTTTCATCGAGTTGAGTTAGAAATTTAGCATTTCCTGGTAAAATTTCTGGTGGTTTTCTGCCTTCTATCCAATTCAAAGGAATTCCTTTCTCATTGTACTCAATGTACTGTAAACCGCAAAGTGAAATAGAAAATAAATTGTGAAAATTTAAACCTCGTACAAATTTAGAAATCTGTGTAAAATTTTACTCGCATGAAAGAAATTTTTAATTTCGACAATTATTCAAAATTAGTTTCAATAAAGAAAATTTATTAGAAAAATAATTATTACTTTTCTTAGAATTAGAAATAATTTATAATTAAAATTAGAAATAATTTAAAATTGAAATTAGAAATAATTATAATTAGATTTAAAATTATTAGATTAATTAATTTAGATAAATTTAATTTCTAATCGGAATTATATTAGAAAAATAATTAAGATTGTACTCACATCATTTCCATGAAACGAATAGAATTTTGCTTGATTTTCATCAATTATTACTGGAGCTTTACTACATTCTCCAATTTCAATTTTTTCCCTTGAATTTCTTTTTCGACTGGATTCTTTTTTGTATTTATGATCATCTATTTCATATTTATCCATTTCTTTTTTCACTTTTTTCACTTTTAAATTGTCTCCTCCATCCGAGGTAATGGTGTCCAATTCTTGCTCTATTTTTTCCTCATATTTTTCCTCGTCCGAAGTATCAATGAAGGAATCCTCTATTCTGGTATTCACACTCAACTTGACCTTTTCAATTTTTTGCCGTTTCTTTGGACTTTTCTCTGGTGAATTTGGTTCATTTTTTATTTCTCTTTTCACAAATACGTCCAATGTTCCTGTACCTTTTGAATCAGTCTTCGTTTTTTTCTCCTTCTTTGTCGTCGTCTTTGACTTTTTAGTTTCTTCACTGGAATCTCTTTTTGAAAGTAATAAAATAAAAATAATAAAAATAAGGAAAGAAAAGAAAATGTTTTAATAATATTTACAAGAAATTTATATAATTTTCTTTTCTTTATATAAAGAAAATTATTTATTTTCTCATATAAAATTTATTATATAAAATTTATATTAAATTTATATAAAAAGTTTATAAAAGAAACTTCAAGGTTATTAAATGAAAAGGACAAATTTCAAATTGAAAGTGAAAAAGAATAAACATATTTTCGAATAATGAAAATTCAATAACGGGACAAAAATTGTGAAAGAAAAGAAGAAAGTGTGGAAAAAACTTGCAAAACTTACTTGCTAGTTGAAGCTAAAAGAAGTGAAAAATCCGTTGATTCAGTGCTGGTCTTGAAGAGATTTCGCAATTCGTTGAGATTTGTCGCCGTTTCCCAATTTTTGTCACTTCTGATTCGAGTCACTCTTGGAAATCTGATACTAATTCCATCGGCCGTATGTACTCCTTGATTTGTAAATTCTGCACCAGTAATTTCCCAAACTGGCTGATTCTGAAAAAAAATCAGGTCTTAATTTTATTCAGGAATAAGAACACATAATTAATAATTGATTTTACATTTCAAAAAATGATTCATTTACTTAACGTATTTAATTTTTTAAAACTAATACTTATTATATTATTTTTACTTCAAATGTTTTTTAATTTATTAAAATTAATATTTATTATTTTATTTCTATTTATTTTCATAAGTAAAAAGATAAGAAGGCAAAAAATTATATTTTTTAACATTCTTGAATTTAATTTGTACTTCTTCAAAATTAATTTGAATTGTGGAATTTTTTCTATTTTGTCAATTTATTTATTTAATTATTAATAAAAAATACCTTCGGATCTTTCGCTACAAAATCTGGTATCATTGGTTTATTTGCTTTCATCCATTTTGGAACAAGACTCGGATCCTTTCCTATTTTCACCATATCAAGTTCGTCCTGAAGTTTCTCCAAAGTTGCATCATCGTGACCAGTGTGGACCTATTTTTATCAAAAAAAAAAAAATACATAAAAATTTATTATTAATAAAACTCGATTATCCGATTTAATTAAAAAAAAAATCATTCAGATTAAATTAAATGATTAATTCAATTTTCAAACAGATATTAAAATCATTTAAGTGGAATTTTTTTTAATAATGTTCAGATTAATTCAGTAATCAAATCAAGAGTCACATTTAGTGATAGACTTAATTAATAATAATTAAAGTCCAAAAATTCGAAAAAGAAGAAAACGAAAGCTTGGAAATAATAATATTGTTTAGTTTTTAAATTAAATAATTTAAAAATAAAAAAAATGAAGTAATCTATTTTTTAGAAATTATAATATAAAATTCAATTCTATGGTAAAATAAAAAGGTGCTAAAGGAAAAAAGGGAAAAATAGAAGTTATGGAAAAAGAAAATCGATTCAATGGAAAAAATTAATTTTGTAATAAAATGAAATAATTTTTTTAGGGAAAGAAAAAAAAATTTCAAATTCAAATAAAAGGAGAAAAATACTGAAAAAAAGAAGTCAAAAATTGTTAATCAATACTCTACCTTAGTCACAGTGAGCCAAACATCTCTATCGGTATCGTAACATCCCATGAGGAAAACAGACATCATACCACCTGAAATAAGAAAATAAAATTAAAGATTCGTAAATTCAATTCCTTTAATTATTTAAAGATTAAATTCATATAAAAGAGTATAAAATCTTTTTGAATTTTAGAACCTTTATGACCAGTGCCATACCAAGCACCGAGAACCACGAGATCTGCGGTATCAGCCATTGCGCCTTGACATAAATAATCCTTCTTTACCTTCAACCAATGCCGCTTTCCAGGCTCATATTTACTCTGTAAATTTGAGATTCAAATTTAAATTAAGTATTTATAAAATTTTACGTTTATAAACTTTTATAAACGTAAAATGTATGTAAACAATTTTCTTAATACTCACAGTTACACTCTTTAGAACTAATCCCTCAAGGCCCATTTTCAAAACTTTTGCTATCATTTCTGCCAAATCTTTCGGTTTCTAAAAGAATTATTCTTATTGAACAAATACTTCGATTAACAAAGAGTTAACATTAAATTACTTTCAACTTAAGGCGAATTTAATTGAATTTAATTTGAATTTAATTTGAATTTAATTTAGTTTGAATTTAATTTTTATTTAATTTAATTTCCGTGTAATTAAATTTTACTTTTTAAATTAATAAAGAAACATTATTTAAATTAATAAAAAAAAAAAAAAATTCCTTTCCTATAATTAATAAAGAAATATTTTTTTGTCTTTATTTTTTGTCAATACTCACATTTATTTCCTGAATTTCAGAAAGTTTTATACGATTAGGAATTTCTGTCAAATTATTCTCCAGGATTTCCCGTCTTTCTTTCATTGTCCTAAAATGTGAAAATAATAGTATAAAAATTTACTCAGAAACATAAAATAAAATAGAAAGTGATATCAAATTAATTCAATGAAAAAGTGCAATAAAAATACAACAAGGAAATTAGAGGAAAGAAAAAAAAAGCAAAAATAAAATCAAATAAACAAAAAAATAGAACAAAGCTTTCAATATAAAATTAACTCATTGAAAAATGCAATAAAAATACAACAAGTAGAAAAAGTAAAAAAAGAGGAAGAAAAAAGTAAAAAGTAGAAGAAAGTAAACAAACAAAAAATAGAATAATGATCTCAATGAGTTGTGACACATTGACAAAACAGGAAAAATGTCATCAACAATATTCTCACTTGTTTAGAAGTATTTCGCCATTCATGTAAATACAGTCAAACACAAACAAACAAACATTTGCGTCTTTAAATTCGGCTCTCTGTTGAAAAAAAAAAGAAATGATAAATAGATATTAAAAAATTAATATCATCATTGCAATTCAATACGTTAGTGATTATTATTCTAATCAAACATTTTACTTTATGAATTCCCAATGTGCCGAATGGCAAAGGTTGTCCAGTTCTCGTATCAATCATTAAAATTTCTGCGTCCAAAATTAAATCATCTGCATTTGGAAACGCTTGGGGAATGAAATCTTTCAGTGTCTTTACCTGAAATAAAATATTTTCAATTTGTACCAAACGAAAATTGAAAATAAATTCCGGATTGAAGAAAAATTTAATTTACACTCTAATTTTAATTCTAAGTGACAACGAAGAAAGAAAAATAAACTAGACAAGATGTTGCCAAGTTACTTATAAATTTCATAATGAAATTTGATAAATAATTTCCAAATTGGAGAAAATCGTCACTTAAAATCCCATTAATAAAAATTGTTTAACACTGAAAAAAGATTATGAAAAATATTACGCATAAAGAAAACAAAACAAAAGCGCAAAAAGTCTAAAGTGTATTTTGATTAAAAACTGGGTCATGGAAACAAAACTAAGAATGTAAACAGAAATTTTTTTAAGTATTTTTGTTTAGAAGTAACGACATTTAACGAGATTTAAAAAATATTTCTAAATCTGTAAATTTATTTTTGAATACATAATTTAAAACAAAAAAATTTCAATTTAGAATTTTTGTAAAATATTTATCCATTTTTGACGTCCTAATGAAAAAATTAAATTATTTTTATAAAAAAATGTTGTCAAATGTAATAAAAGAAAAAATGTACCTATAGAAAAAGATGAATATTAAATTTCTCAAAGCGATCTAATTATATAAATGTAAATAAACTTACTTTATGCTCCATGACCGGCTTTAACGATCGACTAAAATATCGGAATTCGTCGCCTTTTTTGTGCACTTGAACCCGTTCACCGTCATATTTGACTTCTGATAACATTCCATCTGGACATTTTTTCATCGCCATTTCTACAGATTTGCAAGCTTCTGCCTAAAAGAAAAAAATTCAGTAATTTTTCTTTGTAAACATAAATAAAACGAAATTTAATTTCAATTTTAGCATTTTTTGCAAAAAAGAAAGAAATACAATAAAGAATTTAATCTAAATGGATGGTAAAATTTTTAATTATTTTATAAATAGTTAATATAACAAATAACATAACGTTTTCCATTAAAAATCAATTGTATATTATTATAAATTTATTTTAATTTTTTGAGTAATTTCAAAACTACTTTTTTTAGTTTCAGTAATTTTAGTAAATATCTTTTTTTTCTTTTTTGCAAAATTGAACTGATGAAAAGAATTTATTTCTAATTTTCCAATTTTCTTTACATAGGTATAAAATACCAGAGACCAAATAAAAAATAAATTTCAAAACAATTAAAAAGAACAATTTCGATCATAACAATATTTCGCTGTGTTTAAATCATCGTCGGGAAAATAAATGAAAAATGTATTAATTAAAAGCTAGAAATCGTCCCATGTGATGTCGATTAAAACTTACTGCTCACGGGAATCTCACATTTAAAATTTTTTTTTTCGATTAATTCTGATTTTTTTTTATTTTTGAGTAATTTCAAAACTTGCTTTTAGTTTCAATAATTTTAGTGAATCTAATATTTCTAAAACTAATTTGCACATTATAAGTATTCTCTATCTTAATGTAATATCTACTTTTCAAATGTGGGAGTTATTTTAAAATTTAATGTTCTCTGATAACATTTGCGCATCAGGCTAATTTCCTAAGGGGTTGTGCGCACGATGCGCTCTACCAGGGCCTCCCAGGGTTGTTGGGGCCCGTGCGATAGAAAGTATCACACTGTCGTTGAGACCCCCTGCTAGAGCGGGTCGTTCTAATAGGGAGTTTTGTAATAGTTAATAATAAATTGTGAACAGTTAAAATTAATTAAAAACTAATATTCATTTATCTCTACACAAAGCTAATTAATTAATTAATTCTATGTCCAGATTTTAAAACATTGCAATTTTTCACAACAGATTGTTATTTGAAAAAAAACTATTGTTTCTCTCTTTATAGACACTTAATGATTTGACCAGAATTTCCTTTTTATTGTAAAATTTCAAATTAAAAAATGTGTATATATAAAAAAAATTGAATAAACGAATTTAATATTAAAAGATGTATTTTTGTTGTTGACCAGAATAATTTGTGTGTTTAACGAATTTAATAATTAAAAATAATATTTAATAAATTTATAATTTAATTTTGCAAATTTAAAACTCACCAACATTGGTAAAACTGGCGTCATTATTGTGAGAGCAACTTTTTTTTTAATTGAATCTTTCTTAGAATCGGAATCAGAATTAGAAGATGAAGGACCACCTAAACAACGCTGGATCACAGCTTCCAAATCGTTCGACACCTGAAATGCAGTGTACGCATCTTTGTCAATTGCCTCCAATCTGCAAAAAAAAAATGTAAATTCAAAATTTTTTATTCGTAAATCAAATTAAAAATTAAAATAGTGATTAAAATTCAATTTTAAATTAATTTATCGGTAATAAAAATATTAATAATCTTCTAGTTCTGGATGTCTGTTCGCAGTTTGAACTTACTTCATTTTAATTTTATTTTTTATAATTTGCATTAATAAGTGAATTAAAAAAAAAATGTTAAAAGACAACAATTTTGCTAAAAAAAAGTTTTAACTAATACGAATTTAGAGAATAAAATAAAAATTATGAAACAAAAATTTTATTTAATTAAATAAGAGAAGATTTCTTACATATGCTTTGGTCCTGCGTTAATTCTCAAGTCATGTTTAATTAATCTGATGATCATCTTCAAATCATTTTCTGTGCATCTGAAAAAAGAAATTCTTAATTAATTTCCAAAATATTGATCCTTGATCAAAATTGACCAAATTTTACATTCTCGTCTATAATGAGAAGCTATTTTTATAAATAAATCATGATAAATAATTCTTTAACACTAAAATTTAATTAATTATTAATTCGTTTAGTATTTATTAATCCAATTTTTGTCACTTTGTCATTTGTTTTTCAATTAAACGTACCTGGCAATAAAAGACTTGAAATGATTCATTTGTTCAACCTCCTTGGTCATTGTTGACAGTTTCGCTAAAAAATTTTCCACCTTTTAAAAAAATTAAAAATAGATATAAAATATAAACATTAATGCGCATATTAATAAATATTTATGTAAATATGTATTTTTATTCTTTTATTTGTGTAAACAGAAATTTGTTGAAAATAAGTTCGAAAAAATACAATAAAATAGATAAATAATTCTCGATTTGAATACAAAAAAAAGTTAATAAATCGATCCTACTACGAAGAGTTGTAATTTATATCTTAAAGATAATTCTAGTGAGAGAAATAGATGATACAGATTAAAGGAGAGAATTTATCTCCAACTTATTAATAAAAACTATCAATTATTCACTGGAAAGAGAAAATTGTTCAGAAAAGCGATTAGCATAAACATTGTAATATTAATCTACAAATTAATTTCAATTATTTAATAAAAATTTAATTTCTTTCGATAACATGAAAAATTGTTCATTCTTTTTAATTGTCAACAATTTTTAAACGTTAATTTAAAATTAGAAAAAATTTATTTTTTATTTACATATTTCAAAAAATTTAGATTCGAAAATTTTCTCTTTTTAATACAAAAAAAAACTTAGGACTTGGAAAGAAAATTGTTTCAAAGATTAAACTGTTTTTTCCTATTATATCAAATCAACATCATCATCATCATTGAGGTAATAGTTTGCAATGAATGAAAATTATCATTCAATGCATATACATTTGCAAATTTTTTTCAAAGCGTCACTAAATCAACATATATAAACTATTGAATTTAGTTTTTCGAAGAAATTCCATAAAATTGTGTAAACCAAATCCAATGATCTCATCTTCATCATAGATCAGAAATTCGTAGAATGTAGTCGTAAATTAGCGACCATCAATTATTGCGGTAATATATTTACACAGATGGAAAAATGTTTTTCATGCAAAATGAAAACAAATATTATATCTCACAAAATGCAATTTGCAATCGTTGTAAAATGTTAAAATGTCATTACAAAACGAACATTGTTCAATTTCCAAGTTTTTTTTTATATATAGATAGATATCGATAAATTCTTTTATAATAACGTGGAAGAAAAATGAAAATAATAAAAAAATATTGATTCAAAAATAAATTCTCGTTTTTTATTTCTTTATTCTATTTTTTATCTGCTTTTTATTTTTCAGATGTAAACTACTTTCGAAAAAAATTCAAAAATAAATTTTACTTTTTATTTTTATTCATTTTGACCATATTTTACTTTTCTCTTGCAAATTACATTTTGAAAAATAGTCTTTCCTTTCAATATTTTTTTATCTAATTTGAAAATTAATAAACGAACGAAAAAATATTGAAATCAACAAAGAAAAGTAATGAATATAATTTTTTTTTGAAAAATTTTACTTTTTTTTACTTAAAAATTGAAAAATGTTCTGATTTGAATTTTTTTTTGGATTAATTTAAAAAATGTAGGAAGCATTACCTCTTGAATTGTGATTACACTCTTGATATTTGGTCGCAAGGCGTCACTTTTGCCAAAGAATACAGCAATGGTCTCTCCAATATCGCCCTGTTCTAAATGTTCAAGCATTGAGCCTTCGTCCTCTTTCAATATTCTCGCAAAGAGCTTAATTAGCTGCTTACTTTGTAGATTATATATCCTCTTTGCTGTACCAGGTAAAAGCAATTTACACCACAAGACGATGTCGCTTTTGAATCCATCTGAAAACATTTTAAAAAATTAATCTCAAGTGTATTGATAGTAAATTCTATATTTAGTCAATTAAGTCCACAATAAGTGGAAAATTACGTTAATCGAAGCATTTGATAAGAAATTATCATAAAATATATATATACAATATATACATATACAATTTAATAAATAATATTTTCTGCAAAGTAACAACTTTTACGAAATTCGCAGACCATTAGACGCCTCATTAGAAATTCAAAATGAAAATTAAATTCTCATTAAATATTATTGCAGTTCAATCAGTAAAATCAGTAAATTAATAAATATAATCTTTGGGGGTAAAAAAATTAATATTTGTTTTTTCTAAGTTCTTACAAAAAAAAGTGTATAATTTTTACTTCGTAGTTTTACAGCTGTGCGGAAATTTATAGAAATAATATTCTTTATCTTTTGCGCAAAATAATCGCACACAAGTTCAGTGATCCTTTTCTTTTGAACCTTGTGTGTTAATAAAAGAACATCAGTGCCAATATCATTGTATTTCTTCAACGGTTATATAACAAAATATCTATTTATTACGAAAAACGTTATTCAATCAGAGACATTTTAAAACGGACAATTGATGTTTACGGAAGAGCCTTGATCGTCGAGATCATTGGCTAATAAATGAATGAAGAGCTCATTTTTAGGCGGAATTCACTGCAAAAACAGTTGATTTACTTTTACGATGACTAAAACGAAATTAAATCAGAATTTTCCAGTTTTATATACTAATTGAAGAAAATATTTCCGAATATCAAATTTAAAAAGAGGGGAAAAAAATCTAAACAAATTAAACAAAGCAAACAAAATAAAGAAAACGATTATTTAGATAAATAAAACAAGAAAAAAGGCAAAAACAAAATTTAACAAAATTTTTTAACAAAATTTCTCCTTTTTCCAAAGTTATGGAAAAAATAATTAATAATATAGAAAAAATAAAAAAAAAACAAATATTTTCGAATAAAAATATTAAAACGATAAAAAACGTATTTTTAATAAAATATTCCAATAATAGAAAAAAAATTCCGAATAAAAATACTCCAATAATAAAAAAAAAATCGAATAAAAATATTCCAATTCTAATAGAAAGCTAATTTCCAATGAAAATATTCCAATTCTAAAAAAAAATTCGAATAAAAATATTCCAATTCTAATAAAAAACAAATTTCCAATGAAAATATTGCAATAATAAAAACAAGTTTTCAATGAAAATATTCCAATAATAAAAAACAAATTTCGAATAAAAATACTCCAGTAATAAAAAACAAATTTCGAAGGAAAATATTCCACTAATCAAAAACAAATTTCCAATAAAAATACTCCAGTAACAAAAAAAAAAAATTTCGAAGGAAAATATTCCACTGATCACAAACAAATTTCGAATAAAAATACTCCAGTAATAAAAAACGAAATAAATAATGTCGAATGAAAATGTCCCAATAAAGGAAAAAGAAATATTTTCAAAAACATAAATATCAGATTTTTCAAACTAATCGAAACTGTGAAAAATGTGTGTTGTAAAATGAAACAGAAATGAAATTAAGAAGAGGAGAAATCGACAGATTCAATCGCAATAGGGAAAATTGAAAAAGAAAGAAAAAAAATGTAGATTACTCATCGCAATATTTAGTATTTAAAGTAGCGAAGCCACATGCAAAATACGATTCGCGAAAAGTCTAATACATCGACCTTGTAATATATCACGCAAAAAGTACGATGACGTATGATATATAAGAATTTTTTTTTTATGAATTAATAAAACGCCGCGTATCTTCTTTGAACTCTTAAGCAATTTACAAATACACATCGAACTTATTCTCTGGTAATCCAAATATTTTTTTCTCTTTACGTGTATTCGCAAAATTTTTCAATGAAAACTGTTTTTTTTTTTTTTGTAAATTTCAAATATTACAATTACATTTATTTATTCGGTTCATTAGTTACTATCAATAAGGAAATAAATAAATAGATAAAACTATTAAAAGAAAGAAAATAAAAAATTAAAAACTAGAAGAAGAAAAAACTAGAAAATAAAAAGAAGAAAAACAAAAAGAAACTAAAAACAAAAAAAATGAAGAAAATGAAAAAAAAAGAAACTAAAAATAAAACTAAAGGAAAAATGAACAAAAATAAATACAAAAAATAGGGAAAATTAAAAAAAAAGAAACTAAAAAATGGAAAATAAAAAGTAAATCTAGAGAAAGAATGGAAAAAAGAAAATAAAAAAATAGTAATTCATTAATTAATTTAAAAATAAAATTCGAATTTCAAAAATTGTCAATAAAAATAAATTATTAACAGAAAAAAAATTAAAATCAAAGAGTTAAATAATAAAAAACTTTTAAAAATTAAAAAAAAATCTATTTAATAAAGAAAATGAAAATTAACAGTGAACATTGAGAAAAATTAATTTTAAGAAAAAGTATGGAAATTTAAAATATTCTATCGTATTTCACGCTTGCATTGATTTTGAATAATTACGCTAATTACTTTTTGATACTTAGTAGAGGCAGAATTATTAAAGTTATCAATCTGAGTCTTGTCATATCGAACGAAAAAAAGAATAAAAAAAAAAAATTACACATTATATGAATTCATCTCGATGTCAGTAAATCATTTCTTGTACATGGAGAGACTATAAAACGTAAATTCTAGAACATTTCTTGACTTTAGAAATAATTTTATTTGTCTTCGTGGAAATGTGATTTTTTCCGTTTAACCAAAATAATTTCTTTTCTTTTTGTATTTGACAAAAATTTCTATTTTCTTTTCTGTTGATTTTAGTCGTTATTTTTTTAGTTTTTCTTTTTTCTATTTATTTTCTTTAATTTTTTAATAACTTTTTTCCTTCTTTATTTCATGTATTGTGAAAAAAAAATTATTTTACTTAATTATTAGAAATAATGAAAGAAAAAAAAACAGGATTCGAGAGCAAAATAACAAAAGAATGAAAGCAAAAGAAATAAAAAAGGAAAATAAAAAGGGGGAATAAAAAATGCCAAAAATAGGGAAAATTGTAAAAAAAGAAAATAAAAATAAAACTAGAGGGAAAATAAAAAGAAAAAAACAAGTAAAACCAAAAAGAAAAAAAATAGGCGAAATTAAAAGAGAAAAAAATAAAGAGAGGGAATAAAAATAAATAAAAAAGAGTAAAAAAGAGAAAATTAAAAGAAATAAAATAGAAAAAGGGAAAATAAAAAGAGAAAAAACGAAAAGAAACTAAAAACAAAAAATAGGGAATATTAAAAGAAAGAAAATAAAAAATTAGAACATAAAAAACTAGGAAATAAAAAGAAAAACAAAAAAAAATGAAAATAAAAAAATAAGGAAAATTAAAAAAACAAGAAACTAAAAATAAAATTACAGGAAAAAAAATTTAATCAAAAAATAGAGAAAATTAAAAAAAAGAAAATAAAAAGACCAGAAAAGAAATAAAAGAAACTAAAGAAAAAAAGGGAAAATTAAGAATTAAATTAATAAAGAAATTATTTAATTAATAATGAAAATAAAAAATAAAACCAGAGTGAAAATAGAAAAAAATAAAAAGAAAACCAACAAAGATTAGCACATTGAACAATTAAAGTAGAATCATTTATCAAATCAAATAGTAAAAACAATGATTTCCAAACATCTTTCAAAAAAAAAACTCACTGATAACTAAAAAATGACAAATTTTCTATAAAGCGTTCACTTTTTTTCCGTTTCCTTCTTCTTCCTCTTTCTCCAAAGTCAAGAACCTTTCAAGTTTTATAGAATATAATTAATAATCACAGAATTATCAAAATCTGTTTACTGTTTACGCTTTTTTTTCTTTCTTGCTCTACTAAGTTCAAGAACCTCTAAAGTTTCAATGTACGAAACAAAAAAAAAGTAATATAAATAAATCCAGTTTGTCGTGCCACGAGATCATTGTCATGAAGAATGTTAGGTCAGTCGGTGTAAAAAATTATTTTTCACAACTCTATGCAGACAACAGCGGATATTTCCTACGAATGCTGCATACTTAATCAAATCAGGTCAAAATAAGAACAAGTTGAGAGTCAGTGACACTTATTGAAAATCTAGAAAAAAGACAAAGAAAAATTATTATTCAATTTTATTTATTTATTTTTTCGAGGGGGAAATTTCTATAAATCAAAAGGAGGAAAATGGATGAAAAATTTTTTTTTTAGGAAACTATTAACACCATTTTGTATAGATAACAAAAAGTAGAAGTTACAAAATTATTCACATGTATTTACTTAAAATATAATACAATTTATGAATGAGAGATTTTTTTACAAGGAAAAAAGAATTAAATTTAAATTCTCAAATTTTTCACAAGGAAAAAAATTTGTTTTTAAGTTCTTAAGTTATTTACAATTTTTAAATGGAAAAATTTTTTTTTACAAGGAAAATAGAATTATGTTCTTAAATTTTCCACAATTTTTGAATGGGAGAATTTTTTCACGAGGAAAAAGAATGAAATTAAAATCTTCAAATTGTAGCAAAAAATTAAAATATTATCACAAAAAAATTAAATTTGAACAAAATGGACTAAATCGTGTAATTTGATTCAATTTCGTAATTCTAATCGAAGATAAGAAATAAATTTCCTACGAAAGTAATTAATCCGCGCGTGTTTGATGTTTTAAGTTGTACCTATATCAATTCTCGTTTTTTTACACATTTTTTGTAATATCTACTTTTTATCATTCAAATTAAATGAGTGAACATGCTATAATTGCTTAAAGTGTTAAATAAAAAATTACACAAACGTTGTAAAAGGTCAGCGCATTATCAATTCAAAAAGAAGCAATTGTCCAAAAAAAAAATTCACAACTAATCAAAGGCTTTTGAACTTCATCATATATTACTTTGAGATGCAATTAACGGAAATCAACGTTTAAAAACAAAAATTTTTAACATTTCGCAAAAATTTGTATTTTTTTCTGTATTATCAAAAATTATAAACCTTACAAAAATATTTTCTGTTCGATTTTGTAAA